TTTTTTTTTTTTTTAGTAATATGTCTAGAGTTTTCGTGATCCCTGTTTCTCCCTATTTCCTCAGTAGTCCCCAAGTAATTTGGGGATGTGGTTTGTAAATAAACAAGTTTGTTTACTTTGATTTGTTTTACAGCTTCTCCCAAAACGTTGACTATAATTTATGTCAAAGGTTCTATTGGGTCTCTCTGCCCCAACTACTTCCTCTGCAGTTGGATAATACGATAATTATAAGATCACTTTCCCTCTTACTTGGAATGGGATGATAATAAACTGTGTGTTGATTCTGAACTAGAAACTGTGCTCCCAGATTTGCAAGGTTTGGTTCCTGTCTCTCAAACACGAAAATTCAAGACCCTACTTGAATATCATAATAGGCTCTTCTTACTGGTTATAAAAGCTGCTTTTCCACTTAAAAGATTTCCTTTGTGGTTAATGAAATGCTCCACTGAAATTATTAGTCTTTAATTCTGCTTTTATAATGCCAGCTCGATGGTTTTTAATTAGCCACAAACCTATAGGCTAATTGAACCTTGTCTTACAGTCCTTATCTGCCCAACCACAGAAGTATCATCTGTAAGAGTTTCATGAGCAAACATGGAGATATTTATGAAAGTTCAGTTTTTGGAAGGTTTCTTTAAAATATTTTTAATAATTATAATTCACCAGTATTTGTTAGTTCTGTGGTTTTATAAGCCATGTGGTTGCATATAAGCATGGTCTAAATCATCATTTTGTTTCTCTTTTTTCTTTTCCCTCTTGCCCAAATGAACATCCGGGACCAGAATACACAGTAAGTGTCATTTAATCATTTTTAAATAGTCAGTTTAAGAACAGTGGAGTAATTGGAACTTCCTGTGTCTTTCTCATCGTACCACGTAATAAAAAAATAGGGGAATAATTCAAATCAGAAATATTTAAATGTAGGCTATTGCATAGCTGTATGTAATGCAATAACTCGCATGTTCTCATTTGTTCAAGAATATGAATGTTAATTTGAAATGCCTTGATATTCACCTTACATAATTAACTTTTGCTTGTATTTTTAAATAGCTTGACTGCTCTACTTGTGATCGTTCAATGTAATAGAGCAGTTGCCAGAAATGCAATATTAAAGTGATGATAATAGCTGTTGACAGAAGGCGGGGCTGATACCTAAAGGCTGTGATCTGATCACTTATTGGAGAACCTCGTAACTAGAAAGACGTTCATTCAGATTATTTTCCTCTGAGCTCTGGATTGGGCAGTCTTGATGGCTTGATGAAAATCATTTGATTTCTTCCTGCCCTAAGGGCCTTTAAAATCATTACTTAGTTAGCATTAAAAAAGGAGACCCTATAGTATCACTGTGTTACCGCGTTTTCATTTGGATCATTTTCCTCAACAACCAACAGGTCAGGTTGTCATAATAAAAGAATGGGGGGTTGCCAGGGTGGCTTAGTCAGTTGAGCATCCAACTCTTGATCCCAGCTCAGGTCTTGATCTCAGGGTCGTGAGTTCAAGCTCCGCACTGGGCTCTCTCTGGGCGTGAAGCCTACTTAAAAAAAAAAAAAAAAAAAAAAAAAAAA